TATATATATATGTATATATATATATATATATATACACACACATATATATATATATATAAGGAGGGAGGACTTTGTCTCAATTCAGGCTTCAGAAACACAAAACCAGAACAAGATCTCGTGCTTCCAGAAGTACAACCAACTAATACCCTAGCACATTCACTCTGTCTTTGAAAGAAGCCTTTGGCAAAAACTATAAGGGAGTTGACTATCTCATAATGAGCTCAAAGAAGGAAATTTGAGGCCAATCTCCTGATAGCAGGAAAAGTACTGTCACATTGATCTGGTTTGTCATCTAACACCTAAAATTGGGAAATGGTTATACCTAGTAGATCTAGTGAAATACAAAAGGTTGCCAATTTAAACTTCACCTTAAATGATTCACAGCTGGTCTCAAGTTGTGAAAGCCTCACTGGCACTCTTTCTTCAGGGGTGGAGTACAGCTACCAGCTCTTACAAAATTCCATTTCAATCAACACTTTATCAACTTCCACATGTCATTTTCTTTCAGGGACCATTTATTTTTGTATTCTGACATGATGTAGTTACTTATGTGCCTGAATACAGTTTTACACGCTCTTGTGCAGTGTAATATATGGCTCTTTCAGGAGCTTGACTTTTTGAGTGACTATGTTTATCAGCTGTTCCAGCCTTGTTTTGGTGAAATGTAGCAAAAGCAGTAAAACTAACAAACACATAAGAATTGTTAAACCCAAAGCTTGCTTCGAAGTGTTTTCAAAGCAGTGTCCAGGAATTCAAGGACCTCACAGTAATGTCAGTGGCATCCCAATTGCAGGTAAACTCCTGCTGGTTAGGAAACTCCTGGTTACCCTGAGAGATGGAGTTCAGAGCTCATCATTCCTAACTATGTGCTGACAGTCTGTAGAAAACTGTTCCTCTGAAAAGCAAGATGCTAAATTGCCATGGACTCAGACCCAGGACCTTCTCAGACTTGCTGAAGATGTCTACACCCACTGCTGCTCAAGGAGCCCAGAGGGGCACACACAGCCTGGCAAACGCCTGCCTGGCATCACCAGGCACCCAAACCCTGCCTTCCTTCAGAGCTGACGCCTACCCCTGAGTCAGCAGCTTATCACTGTCACATGCCAACAGCTTCCACACCTGCCCCAACAAAGTCCATGCTGGCCAGCTCTTATTTATATTGCATAAATTAAAGTTTTACAGGCTATGAAGAAGTGTGGATACCCTTGGAGAAAAAAAAAAAAAGAAAAAAAGATTTCCAGGCATGCTGAATAGGAAACTGAAACTGTAACTAATTTTTTCCCCAGGTCTCTACCTCTGAAATTGCAAACCAAAATAAAGCTTTCAGACCTGAGGAAGTGCAGAAAATAAAAAACAAACAAACAAACAAAACCAAAATGAGCTTTCACCTCTTGACCTGAGATGTGGAGTGAATTTAAAGTACATTTGGGGCCTGGTTTGTGTGAAGCTATTTTTCATCTCTGTACTTCCTGGTTGAAGTCACGACAGTCATAGGCTTCAAAGCTTTGTCTGTGCAGGTTCAAGAGCTTTTACTTCAAATTTCTGGAGAAGAGAAGCAAAGACACCAGAGTACCTTCAGCACTGACCCAGCATCTTGCTCAGAAGTTTCAGTTATTTCCTCCATCTATCCAGAAAGGTAAACCCTGCATATGTACTGTGAATCCTCAGAGGAAAGACACCGTTGGAAACACATGTTGTTTTAAGATTCCACAACCAGCATTTCCCAGAGCCATTCACCTAAACAGAAAAGGACAAGTACCTGGCTTTGGCGACCCAGGGCTGGAGAAGATATCCCAGGGTACTAAGTCCAGTCCTCTGCTGCTGCTAAAATAAACTCTCTTCATACTTCTTCTTACTGCCGTTCATCCTTCTAGGGCTATTTCACAACCTTTGGCTTCAACTTATCTACAACTGCCTTATGCACGTTTCTTCTTGTGATTGTACTTTTATTTAAAGAAGCTCCTTTCCTGTGCTGTTTGCAGCCAGCCCCATTCTCTCTCCAACTTCATTTTGTTAGGGACTTATCTAAGTTTTCAGTCTCTGCTCAGAAAATAGTCTGTTCTTTAATCATCCCTGGCCCTGCTCCAGTTTGAAATTATCTCTCTCAAATGGGGGTGACTGGCTCTGCATAAAATATTACAGATAAGATGGCAGGAAAGCTTTGTAAACAGCATTAATGCTGCTTTAATTTTTAAGGGAAGAAACTCCCCTGATTCATCCTGGCAAACTGACACTATTTCCAACTTGCAGCAGAAACTCGGAGGTTTAAGTTGGAAACAGCACAGACCAAAGTACCACCCTCAGCACCCTTCTGTTTCTCCAGTGCTCACAGGCAGCCCCACTTCTCCTGGCCGATGATCTCACTCTCTTTGTCACCACCATCCCTGCCTCCCATGTTCCCAACATACCCGGCTCACACAAAAGTCATTGCTGGTCCACTCCCTGCTGAAGAGCTTCACTAACAGCCCCTCCTCACCCTGAACATCTCCTTTAAAGGGAACTACTACTACCTTCCCCTTAAAGCTCTCTCTTTGATACCAACTCCTTTCCCCTGATGGGTAAGAGCCTTCTGCAGAACATGCCTGGGTGCTGCACTTGTCCCTTCATGGTTTTCCCAGACTTCAACTGGCAGCTGCTGCCAGAGATATCAGGCTACCTGGATTTTTACTTTTATCTAACACAGCTCTTCTTAGCCCCACATCATCATCATCCATTCAGAAGCATTTCTTCAAAACTCCAGATTGCAGAGAGCCTGCGGGTCTGCACTTCTGCTCACCACCATGTCACCAGACAGGTGTCCTTCCACTGCTATCACCAAAAACCTCCCACCCAGTTAGCTAACACCACAGCTTTGTCCCACTGACTCCTTGGCATTTCCCATGCAGCTAAGCCAATTGTGCTGTCACATACATGACTAAGACCAGGCTGGATGGGGCTTTGAGCAACCTGGTCTAGTGGAAGGTTTCCCTGCCCACAGCAGGGAGGATGGAAGTAGATGATCTTTAAGGTCCCTTCCAACCCAAGCAATTCTGTGATTCTATAAGACAGACCAGCACCACTTACAGCACTGTTAATACCAGTTCCTGCTCACAGCCTTCTCGCCAGCAAGAAACCCACCCAGCTGAGCTTGCCATAATATTAACACATGGCCTGCACAGACATCTTTAGTCATTTCACAATTACATGTAATTAACATGTTTTAAAAATACAGGTTGTCATAAGCCCATGTCTTTAAAACAACTTCCCCTTTTCATTATAAAGTGTAACTCCACAACTCCCTCAGTAACTGGGAAAATAATATTAATAATCAGAATATCACATGCTTGAATACTCTAATTACAGAATCACAGAATATGCTGATTTGGAAGGGACCCACAAGGATCATCAAGTCCAACTCCTGGCCCTGCATGGGACCATCCCCAAGAATCACAGCATGTGCCTAAGGGTATCATCCAAACACTTCTTGAACTCTGTCAGGCTTGGTGCTGTGACCACTTCCCTGGGGAGCTTGCTCAGTGCCCAGCCACCCTCTGGATGAAGAACGTCTTTCTAATATCCAACCTAAACCTCTCCTGACACAACTTCAGACTATTCCCACAGGTCCTGTCACTGGTCACCACAGAGAAGAGATCAGTGCCTGCCCTTCCTCTTCCCCTCATGAGGAAGTTATAGACTGTGATGAGTTCTTAAACCAAACTAGATCTGGCCAGTACTCAGATGAACTCCTTGCAAGAAAAAGACAAGGCAAGTCTGCAGAAAGGCATGTGAGGAGCTCTAAAGAGTCATTTTCTGAGCAATATGCAAACCCAGAAGGCAGTGACTACCAATTTTCATCTTCTGTGGCATGTTTCCAGAAGCAGTAGGTGTACTCCTGGCCAAAACCCAGCTCTAATTACACAGTGTCCACCTACTTCTACATTTCACTTGCAAGTTATTTTTCATGTTCTCTTTATAAAATGTATTGACTAGGGTTATTGGCACAGAGCAATTGATGCCTTCTCTCCAAGACCGTGTGTATTTGAAGCGTATTAGGAATTCAAATAATTTTTATTATTTCTTATCATATTATTTGGTCAAAAGACAGAATATTGTTAAACAGAATTGACCAAATCACAGAGAAGCTTCACTGTAAAGGAAAAAAGTTAGCTATCAAGTCCAAGTTTTTACCAAACTTCAATTTCTTAGATCAATTGGCAGCTAAACCTCCAGGATCCTGCCATCTGCCAGAGGTGCTCACTTACCTCCCTTCCTTGTTCTAAAATGGTCATATTTGTCCAGCAAAGATCTGATCAACACCAAGATGAGCAATGTCAGTGACAAAACAGCCAATCTCAGCCTGAAGTGCCTGGTTATCTACTTTTTTTTCAGTGCCAGAATGGAAATACATTATTCTGGATACCCACAAACCACACTTGTGAAGGTTGAAGCAATGCAGAAACCAGTTAATTTGGGAATGCTCTCATATTAACAAAAAATCAATGCTTTTAAGCCTTAGTCTTCAACAGATAATCTGATTTTCCCCCCCTCAAATTACTGCTTATGCCACTGCAGCCTGCACATCCCCTTACTATCAGGTTTATAGTAATTTCAGTCAAGCAGGAACTATGCAAAGAAGTTATGCAGAAGAAATTAGAATAAGAGAAAGATTTCCCAAAGTGATAAAAAATTATCATTAAAATACTATGACACATTGGGAAGGAAGTGTTTTCCCAACTGTTCTGTGTAAACCCTATCAAAAGCAGCTGAATCTGTGACTGGGCTGGAAAAAAATAAGTCAGTCCAAGATATGGCAGAGATGAACAGACACCCTATGTCAGCTAATGCCCGTCAGCTCCTCTCAGCATCACAATGCCTCTGATTCCTGAACACACAAGTTATGTATAAATAGTGTCAGTGCTTCTTTTGTTTGAAGGGATTTTGTTTGTTTAAAGGGTTATTCTTAAATATTCATTTGCTATGGATACAGAATCAACATTTAAGTTAATCATAGAAATACTTACAGACCAAACAATTATCATTCTTCTAGATACGGAGTGATCAATATTCCAGTAGGTAAATGGAAGGAAAGTGATATAAAAAATCTCTTCACCCAAAGCAGCTGAAAACCTGAACAAGTAGTAGTAGAAGTAGTTCTTCACAATATACTTCTGTGTGCAGCCCTGGAAATGGAGAATTTTGCAAAGTTTTAGTGAATTAGAAAATCACAGCAAACATTTAAGATACTTTAACTGCTACAGTTTCCAGACCTTAAATTAAACAACTTGTTATAAAAAGTGTCAAGAAATGAAGTTCAACTTTTATACTAAAATGAAGACTATAGTGATAGCTCAATTAGGTTTCCTGCAGAGCAGAAATCTATTCAGGCTAATTAAATTGACAAAAACTTCCAAGAGATCGGATCAGCCCTTCCTCGAGGGTAATAAGGAGTATTTCAGAAAAGGGTACAGGTGTGCTAAGTTTTTACATGTGTAGACATGTGTAGACATTGTTTTCACTGGAAATGTGTTGAGGTGAAAAACATAAACTGCAATTAGCAAACCACTTCATTTAGGATTTGCCTCATTATAGCAGGCAAAGTTGACCCCGCTAGTATGAGAAATTTGCTGCCAGGTCCACTGACAGCAGCATTCCCAGCACTGCCCTCAACACCAGGCTCTCCATGTGCCTCTCACCCCATGCTGCCCATGGCAGGATGCTCAGGGCATCACCCCACGCTGAGATGCCACAGCTGTAAACTACAGCTCTTACATGGAACTGGGCTCAGCAATTGCAGCTGCACGAGCAGATCCAGGGGGAAACAAGGCTGTGAGTGGGCAGAGAGAGGAGCTGCCCCTGTCACCACCAGATTTTCACTTCTGTGAAATTTTTAAGTAATAACCACCAGGTTGTCTCTTTAAACATTATCAGCAGATACATTGCAATCAGTGACATTTTAGCACTTTATTTATTCATTTTATTAAGCTAGATATTTCATTCAATCTCTGGATTTGGCAGCTGGATGATTTCATAAGATGTACCCCACCTAACACGTTTGTATTCTCTCTTCTAAAAGGTGACACCCAGCCCTCCAGGGCTGGGAAGCCACAGAACAGCACTCATTGCTAAGTCCATGGCTTTGTTCACTTGTCCAAAGTGTCTAGAAAAGGTTTGCTGCTGCTGCCATTTGGGACTAGGACACCACTAAGAACCCTCATATCCTGTCAGCAGGAGCAACGTGCAAGTCAATCACATTTTATAGGAGTACCTGTACACTTAAGGAAAAAAAAGTATATATATACACACACATATATATACACACACACAAATGCATATGAAGAGAATATTTGATTTGGGGAAGGAGCAAAGGAGCCAATCTAGTCTCACTCTATCTCCCCCCAAAAATTAATATAGAGGTTGCCTATGTAAATATGAGATGAAAGAACTTCCTAAAGATGAGAATTAAGAAGGGATCACAAAGGTTTCAGCACGGACACACTAAGTTAAGATATAGCTTTGACATAAGCTAGTAGAACCCCTCTAATAGGAGCACTGTTATGCTCAGAGTGGTCTGTGTAACTCATTAACCAGAGAGAAACTCTCATCCTATGTGCTAGTGAGAAAATGTAAAAATTGTCTAAGGAGTCTAGATATACAATTGTGACTCATTGTAAAAGCCATTAGAAGTTTCGGTCACTTCATCTGCTTTTAATGCAGAGATGAGGCAAACTGCATGGACACAACAAAAGCAAGATGGAAAGAAGTCACATCCATTCACCTATCATAGAAAAAAAAAACAATTTAAATTGATTTTTGTGTCAATAAACAGAAAAGATGAGTCTGAAACGCCAGGGTCAGAGGAGTGTTCCCCCATCTATCAGTAGCAGAGGTCACAGAGGAGTTACTGGCATCCCTCTAGGATAACACAGCACCATGCTGGGGCTGGCCAAATGACAGAGCAATCAGTCTGAATGTCTCTAGTCTCATCTGCCACTTAGAAAACACCCCAAGTGCAATTAGCACTCCAATGCTGCTTCTGTCAGAGATTCTGAAACCATATTTGGTGACACTTAACATGGCCCCACAGAAAGCCCTCTTCTGGCATCGCTAACTCCTCAATTAAGCATCAATCCTCCAAGGGATTAGGAATGATGTGCTCGTGTGCTTTAGCTCAAGATGATCGGATATATCCCTAAGGTAATGCTTTTATACTCGGAACCTCATGAGATGAGGGATAAAATTTTCCAATTCCAATAGCTGTTTTGTGGGGAATAGTTTTTCAAGTTCTAAAAGAAATCTGGAGTTAAAAAAATATTTCCAGATAGAAGGTAGGGCCAAGTCTTTCCACATGATTTTTAAAACCTTTCTTTTTCTTTCTCCTTTCCTACCAGAAATCACCCCCTACACACACTCACTCGTTTGGGATTTTTTGCTTGGGTTTTTAACACTTTTTTTTTTTTTTAACTCTACACCAGCAGTTGTGCACAGCCAGCGTGTGGCAGGGAACAAACAGAGTCTGTCTGTGACCCACAGTGCTAACAGCCACATGACAGACATGCACGGTATCACCACTTGATGTTTGGTAGTGCATGGTAATAAAAAGTTGATGTTTGCACTCATTGTGATCCTAAAGCATTGTAAGCACAGCAAGCCTGCTCCATGCGCCTTCAGACAGCAGTTAGCTCACGTTTACTATTAATACACACTATTCCTGCAGAAAGCAGAGACTGCTGTGCTTTGTGAAGTGTCTTCCCTTTTTATTCTCATTCTAACCCCAGTGCAGGAAAAGTGATCACAATTATTCGTGTGAACATTTAGCATACTCTAACATTCTCAGAAGTTTATTCAATCTCTAATTTTAAGTAACTCTGATCTTTAGACTTGGTTATTCTTAATGTACTGAAGTGACCTGATGCCTTTCACAATTCCTGAAGCCCTTTCAGTGAGTCAGCCCTTTCATGCATCTCCATTGCTATTTGGTCTGGACCAGAGGGGTTTTAATGAGCAGTAATTAAGGCTGTATATAAAGTCAGAATTTTAGAGCATTTCAGAAGCAAGATGCTATAAGCCATGACATTTGCTGATGCAGAAGATACGTAATTTCCCACAAATGACTCTTCTCATCAACTGTAAAGTATCTATTTTTAAAAAACCTTGACTGCTCAGAATATAAGAAACTCTCATGAATGTGTGAGCCTCTGTAAATTAACTACTCACCTGAAGTATTGTCATGGAAAATGGCTATTGTAGGTCATCCCACTTTGGCAGTCTCTGCACTTGAGTGGGTCACCCACACCAGGTGCTGCCCAACGCTCAGGGCCCTTGAGTGCAAACCCTGTGCCACAGCACCCACCCAACTTCCCTGGAGCATGGGAGCATCCCCAAAGCATTCCTACAGAGCAGTAATGACAGGGCCAGCAAACCAACACCATGGTGACTCTGGAGATACAATAACACACAATGACACAGCATAGGAGGAATCCATCATTTTAAAAGGATGTGCATATGTAACATTTAGCCTTCAAAGCTGAAGTGAAGGAACAGCAGCTGCACCACTAGCATAACATGTATTTTTAGGCAGAGGTATAACCCCCACAAGGCAAAAAAATAGCTGTGTAAAGATACTACTCCTTGCAATTCCTGTAGGATACCTCTTGTCAGAAATCTAAACAGGCCCTGGGTTATCTTGCCCTGTCTCTAGAGACAAGCTTTACAGCATCAAACTTCTAAGGCTCAGAGTCTGACCCAGAGATACAATTAACCAACACTCTGTTCTCAGCTCTCAATTACTTCGGATCTTTTAGAAGATGTACATGTTTAATTGAAGTTTTTGAAGTCCCTTGCTTCCCCTTCCAACAGAATTGCCTTGCAGAAGATCAGGAATTTCCCTCCCAAAGTCCCTAGTTAATGCATTGCAATACTTATCATTTAAGTGATTGTTTATTGCAGTAAAAAAAAAAGGTACAAAATTTAGAGAAGCCACCAGAAACCAGGAACAAGGGGAAAAGCCAAAAATTCTAATCTAGATGTTGCTGCACACAGAGAAAATATAAATCAGACAATTCAGCCCCACAGGGCATTGCTGTCTGGAGTATAAGCAGTGGGAAAAAACCTTCTGTACTGCAGTCTTCTGTAGAAACAGTCAGTCTTACGTCACCTTCTATGTTTACTAACAGTTAATAAAAGAACCCATCAAGTCACAACAAAAAATTAGATATTGGTGATTAGATTTTGGAAAATAAGAAAAAGCAAAAACCATGATTATCAAAAGCTTCAGCTCTTCCATCCATCTCAATGTCAAACACAATTAGAGTTTCCTGAAGATCCAACAAGCAGCTGAGAGCTCTCAGTAACACTCCAGAACCTATGCATTCACCTTCCCTGGGAGTAGCAACACTGGAACTCACTACTCCAAGAGGAAAGAACAGGTGGCCATGAGACAGGCAGTGCCCCAGTGGGAGATCCTGGTGTGGCCATGAGCCCCTCACAGGGAGGGGCTGGGGGCAGAGCACCCATGGTAACATGAGGGAGGAGCCATCAAAGGAAGGTTACAGAGAGATGGAAGGAATTGCGAAGATGTCAGGAAGACAGTGGTGCGGAGGGCAATAGCACAGGAAGCCCCAAGGCATGAAAAACACACCTAACCAAACTCATACATATGTGCAGCTCCCCACTCTGTTCAACCACTTTTAAACAAGTAATTCATTTTTTATCCTCTACAGAATGTGAGGCAGCCAGTGAGCAATAGTTGTGCAGTCTACATACTGTTCTTGTTGAAGGAGGGACACCTAGAGCTAACAAAACCTCAGAAATGTGGAGACTGACACAAACAGAAATCACAAGAAAATGACATAAAGTTCAGTCCAGCTCTGCTGTTTGCAGTAAGTGCTTGTTGAGTAGCACACAGAGAGGCAATGTCCAGCTCCCAGCAATTACAGGGACGTGTGGTCTGGAACCATCAGCTGATGCAGAAGCAAAGACAATCACTGCATGAGAAGTAACAACACATGAGCTTCAAGCCAGAGAGTCACAGAGCACTTTCAGTCATCTCAGGCAAAGAACAAGTGGGGAGCCTAAAAACCAGGCAGAATCCCAGTAGCATTTCATTAATTTCTGAATTCATTCAAAGCACTGAAAAAGGCCATTACCTACAACTCTCAGCAAAGGTACCGTAACAGGGCAG